TAGAAAGCCAAGGTCATCCTTTGTCTCTCAACCTCTGCACCTGACCGGAATTGGATGGGTGGAAGCTACCAACGTAGCAGTGGGAGATTGGACCGTATGATGGACTTGTGGGTGTGGGGACAAGATCTTGAACTTTCAACTAGGTGGGGAAAACCGGGAAGCTTTCAGATTCGGGTTTTCCCAGCTGTGCCAACATGGCTCTCTTAATAAATTGGAACTTTGAGCAATACTTTGGCTTGGACTCTAATTTACTTTTGGATGCTATTTGGAACCCTGACATTGTCATTCTATGTACTATTTTCTAGTTCCAGCTTCTGTAAAAAAAGGGTTTGTGCCTTCTGTAAGTTGTAACATCCAGAAGATTCTTGCCTTGTACAAATTAAGATGAGAAATGTAAACTAAGCATGCTAATGTCATTCTTCTTTTTAAAACGTCCTGCTTGTGTGTTGTGTATTACTAATTTGTTCATTTCGTTCTTTTTCTAGCCCAGCAGACCCGGTTATCCTAGTCCAAGATCAAGTGAAGGATTTTATCCCAGTCCACAGCACATGATACAGCCCAATCACTACCAGGTAAAAGAACGCAACCCCTCTTCCATGGCTTTAATACTTCACAATCCTAATTGTATGTAGGAAGAAAGAGTCATATTATGTATATTGGTGGTTTTTTTTGGTTTATTAATTAGGTTTATAGATATATGATTCATATGACTAAGGGAGAAGTCAACACGAGTGTGGACTATAAGTAATTGTGAAGTATTTTGAAGAGAATTAAAAAAAATCACATTTAATTAATATTAAATTCAATTAATAGGATTTTTTTTCCATTACGTGTTTTAAAATTTTGCTATTCTTTCACACTAAAAGTCCTAATTTTGGCCAAAGCTCGTAGAGATCTCTGAGATCTCTCTGAGAGCTGACCCAAGGCTACTGAGGGCAATTTATAATCCTAGGTCCTTTAAGAATCATTTGAGAATAATCAGAGAATTAAAAATGAAGCACTGAGAAGGGACGTGGAAGGAGCATGGATAGCCTTGTAAAAGGCAATCAAGAGGAATAGGATAGTTGTTACATGCAATCCTCAACTTATGACCACAAGTGGGATCAGAATTTCTCTTGCAAAGCAAGGCGATTATTAAAGGAGTCACGCATGATTTTTCAACCTTTTTTTTTTGCCATGGCCGTTAAGCAAATTGCATCAGTTATTAAGTGAAACAGGGCAGTCGTTAAGGGAATCCACCTTCCCCCAAACACCTTGCTTGTCAGAAGCCAGCTGGGAAAGTCGCAAATGGTGATCACAGGACCCTGGGATTCCATTTAATGGCTAGAACACGCTAGTTGCCAAATGCTCAAATGATTGTGGGGATGCTGCGACAGTTATAAGCGTGAGAACCAGCCCTAAGTCCCTTTTTCTAGTTCCGTTGCAACTTTGAACAGTCGCTAAATGAATGGTGGTAAGTTGAGAACTCCCTGGACATCAGTAGAGGTCCAGACCTTTCCCCTTAAATCCAGGTGGAGGGACATGAAATAAGGGATTTAAATCCCCCTGTTTTATCCAGAGAATCTGCCTTTCCACCTCTTTGATCAGGCGCTAAGTTGCAAATGTCACACAGACTTGAAAGTGATAAAGATTGTGCCTCCTTGTGCACCTTTCAGAGACTTTTAGGGGAAAAAAATCATTTTCCTTTTTTTAGGGGGCATTATCTGAGGATTTCTTACTATTGTTGCACACCAGCACGCAAGTCTTGTAACACGTTGAAAACATGCCTGTACTTTTTAAAGCCAGCCTTTTGTTTAAAAACACTCTTGATTCCTATTAGAAGAACGTTCCCCAGCTAGTTGGAATTGGCTATTTAGTAGCTTCCTGTTCTACATTTGGAAAGTTTTAAGATTATATTCTGGGAGTTGGAAGTCCACAGGTCTTAAAGTTGCCAAGATTGGACACCACCGACTTAGATCAATTAACATTAATTGATCTAAGTCAGTGGGTGTCCAACCTTGGCAACTTCAACTCGCAGAATTCCCCAGCAGGGCTGGCTGGTTGGCTGAGGAATTCTGGAAGTTGAAGTCCACAAGTCTTTAAAGTTGCCAAAATTGGATACCCCTGATCTATGTGAACACTATGTGCTTGTGTATCATCTGCGTATTGAAAGTTTTCATACCATAAGATTATGAGGTTGAAAGGTCAGAAGCTCTTCAGGAATTCAGCACTACCATGGTAGCCATGGGGTTATCCCTGGTGGGCATAATGAGTTTACTTTATCATATTTTTCGGAGTATAAGATGCACCAAGGTTTTGAAGAGGCAGATTTTTTTAAAAAAAAGTTTTTGCACTCTGCAAACCTCCCCAAAACGGCCCATTTTTTGCGAAAATGGCCCTATTCCCCCCCCCAAAGGGTAAATAGCCCTTAGGAGGCTTGTAGAGTGCTCCTGGGGGGGGGGTGAGGGCCAAAAACAAGCAGAAAATGGACCATTTTCTCCTCATTTCTGCCCTCCCCAAACACCATGAGCTCTCTGAAAGCCTCCTAAAGGCTATGCCCGGCCATTTTGGTGAAGGGGGCAGCGTTTGGGGAGGCAAAAAATGCTGTATTCAGTGTATAAGACGCACCCAGATTTTCAGTCTCTCTTTTGAGGGAAAAAGGTACGTCTTATACTCCGAAAAATATGGTATGTGGAAAGTTGCAGTTGGGGTCTCAGTTGAAGTTGGCTTGTGCCAACTTTACAAGTTGGTTGTGCCAACCTCTGTAGGGAGAATGCACCTATTTAGTCAACCTAAGGCACTTGATGGTTCTGAGGGGGCCTGGGGAAGTCCCCAAGGTTTTGGTGGGCAGTTGTATTGAGACTTTGCCTCTTACAACATAGCGG